ATCAATATAAATTGTAAATTTGTTTAGGTGTAAGTATAGTGTACACTTGCTAGTGTTGTATTTATTAATTAACATTTCTAGAAATAATATTATTGTTTTAGTAATAAAAAGTTTTATGTTTTGAGTTTACGTGACGGCAAGAATAGGTTTTTTTTTTCGTTGTTATTGTTGAGAATTTATGTTACGAAACATTTACATTTAAATGTTTTGCCTTAAAGGTTACAAACTATTATATATAAAAAAAAAGCAAGTATTCGTCTTTCGTTCTTCTTTTATGAATGTATTATAAAGGCAAATTGTGCAACAATTTCTCGCCTAGCAACAAAAATTTGATCGCAATCTAAAATGAAACGAAATTCACTCACTGTCGTTTACTATTATCCATAATGATGATGATGTAGTAGTAGTTAGAGTTTCCAAAATAAATCTGCACTGAACGAACGGAGCTCGAAAAAAAACAAGCACAGCAAGTAGAGTCTTTACAACAACAAATAGACGCACATTTTCCTGGCTTTCAGTTTGTCGACCTTCCTTCCTTCTCACTCCTCACTTACAACAAAAATGTTCTTGTAAAAATTTCTAAACACCACACACGTACGTGGCGACGCGAAAAATGTGATGCAAACAAAACGCGACTGCCCACGATCTGAATAGAGAATCCGCTGCTGCTGCTGGATCCGACGGATTGAATAATGAAAGAGGAGAGAACCTTTCGATCATTACGACATTCCGAAATGCCAATAGTCGCACAATACGTGTGTGTACGAACGAGGTCTGACCTTATCGTCGTCGTCGGTCTCTCCTTATCATTATCACCTGAATGAGGTAACTCGGTTATTTTTACGAACTGTTTGCGCGTACACAAACATACAAACACACACACTCGACGATTCGAGTACATACGAAACGAAATGTTCTCATTCAATCATTTGCATACAATGCAAATGTAATACACATCAATTTACACGAGACATAATCAAATCGCTGTGCGTGAAGCGCGGATTCTTTGTTGTCCGCAACTACAAATATCGTTACGTAAAGCTGTAGGGGGATGAAGACTACCGCACGGACGTTTCATTGTTTGCATTTCAATTTTTGATGGACGGAATGCGCGAATATTTTTAAATAATTTTAAATACATTTCAAATGAAAATTACCATTATTTTTTTAACGTTTAAATCAAATTTTTGTAAATTATTAAATTTTTTAAAGAAAATTATTACATACTAAGATTGCAATAAAATCAATAATATGATTGTAAGTTATAATGTTGAAGAATAAATAAGATATTTCAAGCGTTTAGTATTGCTATTTCGATATAATGGAACAAGTTTATTATATACAAAACTACTTGCTGCAAAAAGCATCAACAGTTTTCTATACATTTCAAGGTTTAAACGTATGATTAAATAGTATAAATTTTTCTTCATCAAAGCGTTAATTTCATTGACAAAACGAGCGAGAGATGTCAATTTGAACAGTACGAACAAATAAAGAGGATGAAGTCCGCAACTACAAATATCGTTACGTAAATCGCGAATCCTCGCTGTAAGGGGGATGAAGACCATCGCACGGACGTTTCATTGTTTGCATTTCAATTTTTGATGGACGGAATGCGCGAATATTATTAAATAATTTTAAATACATTTCAAATGTGCGTGGCAATAAAGAAAATTACCATTATTTTTTTTTACGTTTCGTATCAAATTCAAATTTTACAATTGAAGATTCTATGGGAAAAGAAAACATTCATAGGTTTTGAAACAGAAACAAATTTTAAATGTTTCACAAATACAGAAAAGATACTCGAGAGATTTTCCAAATGGAAAAAATTACATATTTTGTAAACTTCATATATATATAAAAAAAATATGTAAAATCAGAATAGTTAATAGTAAATTTAATTTCAATAGATCAAATTTTTGTAAATTATTAAATTTTTTAAAGAAAATTATTACATACTAAGATTGCAATAAAATCAATAATATGATTCTAAGTTATAATGTTGAAGAATAAATAAGATATTTCAAGCGTTTAGTATTGCTATTGCTATTGAAAACATTCAATTTTGAAACAGAAACAAATTTTAAATATTTCACAAATACAGAGAAGATACTCGAGATTTTCCAAATGGAAAAAATTAAATATTTTGTAAACTTCATGCATATAAAAAAAAATGTAAAATCAGAATGTTTAGATCAAATTTTTGTAAATTATTAATTTTTTTAAAGAAAATTATTACAAATAAAATCAATAATATTATTCTAAATTATAATGTTGAAGAATAAATAAGATATTTCAAGCGTTTAGTATTGCTATTTCGATATAATGGAACAAGTTTATTATATACAAAACTACTTGCTGCAAAAAGCATCAACAGTTTTCTATACATTTCAAGGATTAAACGTATGATTAAGTTAAGTTAATTTCATTGACAAAACGAGCGAGAGATGTAAATTTGAACAGTACGAACAAATAAAGAGGATGAAGTAAGCAAATGGAGAATCGCGTAAAATGTGATGTAATGGACCGCACATGCATTGTATATTTATAAGGATTACATCTATGTGCATACTTGGATTTACTATATTTTTTTTTTCAGTGTTCGACCAGTTTTATCCGACCGTCCGTAACCTTGCCTCCGATTCACGGTTGGACAGGAAAGATCCTTGGCTCCGAAATGAAAACACGAACGGACAGACTAAAAATACTGGTCCGATGATAACAGAGTCACAACAGCCGATCGACGTGTCGTAATTATAGAAATGATGCGCTCCTACATTTTTACCTACACGGAAAAATACATAAAACGCAGTTAAATCAGATTCAATATGAATCAGTTGATATAAGAAATTGGAATTATGTTGCGTACACACTATTCATCATAAAATACAAGTGTATCAGGTGTACCAACTACTTTTCCATCTGTCACTGTCATAATCCAATAGTATTCTGCACGCCTGTCACATTAATTCCTGACGTTATGTGACAGCTTCAGTTAGCGATCTCTTTCATAATGCAATTTTCCAATCCGTTGCGCGTTGCAGAGGTGCTAATTAATTGCGAACCCTTGACCGCAAAATTTGACCCTAATTGCGAGGATTAGAAAATCCTCAATTAAGGAAGAGTTAGAAACTATTTCAGTGCACACGCCAATTACAAAAAAAAAATCACTTTCATAACTTGCAAATAATTTATTGCATTCATTACATAAAAACAGCAGTTAACCAATAGAATTTGCACTGAAATTATTTTCCCGAATGCAAAACGTGTTGCCTGCAAATAAATAATAGAAAATAGATACGCCATCTATTGATCTCACGGAGTAACTGCAATTTTCCAGAACCGTTTTCTTTACGATCCACTGGTCTATTTTTGATGAGGATGCAGTAAAATTTATCGCAATTTTACGGATGCATCCGTGGCTTTTCTAGGCCGAATTCGATAGGGAAAAAGAAAAAAATATTTATATAGCGGTGAAACTGAACTGAAAGAAGGAGAAATGAATTATATATCGAATTTACAGAAAGGCACGTACGGTTTTCTCGTTGTGTTATGACTACGGTTGGAATAATGTGGGTTGTAGGATGAAGAAACAAATTTCCTGAAAATGTGGGTTACGATATTCCCAGAAGGGACGCACTTTCTAATCCTGAAATAATGCAAGAAAAGAAGAAACGAAACCATTCAGTTACTGCTATTAAAGAGGACACATTTTTATTTTCTTGTGAATTTCGCTTGAGCTGAAATTAATGAGGACTTTTATAGGAATGTTTGTGGAATTTGCATTAATTCTCTAATTGCAGCTACGGCTACATCTCCTTTCCTAATTAGTCGTAAAACTTTGGATTTAAGTTAATGAATATGTTTATCAAAGTTTCATGAATAATTTGTAAACATTAATTAAAGCTAATTGAAAAAGTGGATCTTAGTTAAAATTTGATAATTAGGTATAAATAATTTTATTGCTTGATAGTTAACAGGTGATCAATATTAATAATAATTAAATCTAAAGACAAAATGATGAAAATATTTGTTTTTTTTTCTATTTCATTCTATTACGTTAATAAGTAAAATAATATAATTAGGTATTAATATGTAAAGATTAGATTAAAGTATAATAAGATAAATGATATGACGAGATAAAAAAAATCACGAATGCACATCTTCTATGTACAGAGTCTAGGATTGCATTTATCCTTTTGCTTGACTTAAACTTGGGCTGTATTGTACTGGACAATCTCCCTTTCCCTGTAGTAGATTTGCTCGCTTTCCTTGTCCAACATGAGCAAGGTGATGGCTCCGAAGAGGAAGATAACAGAACCCCAGCCCACGCCGTAAGCCCATCCGAACTTCCACACGGTCCGATTGCTCGTGCTCAGCTCTGCCGCGAAACAAGTTGGGTACACGATCAGAGCTACGAGGAGGAGACCCAACGCGATGGTCAACGATACCACGGCCAATTTGTACCATTGATTCTTGTTCTGCTGGAGCCGCATCTTAAGACCCACAGCGGTTGACACGACCCCGAACACGTCTGAGAGGAAGGCGAGGATGAACAGCGTCGATGTGGCCTGGAGGTAAGCGCGGTCCTCTGTCTGGTAACACCCGGCGGGTTTCTTCATGTTGAACGGCAGGGGTTGCGGTGCGCCTTCCTCGATGCAATGCAAAAAAAGCCCTTGCCTCCAACCAGCTGCTATTAACCACTCCGTCGAACACAAAGCCAAGACCAGCAATATAATCACAAATGTACCACATAGTAGAGCGATGAGTTTCAGGGGTCTCGTGATGGTGACTGTCTCTATCGTGGTAGACATATCTGGACATATCGCACTGACTAAACAACTGCTGCAAAGTTAAGCGAAGGACTCGACCCTGAAAACGCGTGCACGTGGGGGAGGGGAGCCCTAAAAACGCCCCCCAAAAATAAAACGAACGTCGAAGAACGAACGTTGAGGAAAAAATAAAAATAAAGTGGAAGAAGAAATAAAGGCGAAAAGAGAAAAGAGATCTATTTTTAGGGGAACCCGGGTAATCCGCAGTCGAAGGAATTCTTGGTAGCTGCACTATAAACCCGTCTACCTGCGGCTATGAGGAAATACTTGGGAATACTCGTAAACAGGTATACAGATATTCTGTATGCTTTTTTTCTTTTCTTTCTGAAAATGTAAATTTCACCATGTAAATTTGAAGTAAAAAAAAAATGTAATTAGCGAAAAACATCAACAACTGTAGTTCATATTTAAAACTAATTAGTTGTATCTATGTCCATAAAAATATAATTATCAATAATGATGTTTTTGTAAAACATAAACAATTTTACTTTAGTTTACGTTTAATTAACGTTTTTCTTTAATAATATAAATATCGTATACAAAATAAAAAATGTAAAATGTTGCATAGAAATTGCTGTTTCTTTAGTTTTTAACGTTTTTCTCAAAAACTTTATATGAATAATCGCATATTTGAAGCAAAGCTAACATTATTGTGATTAAAACAGCGTTTTCCAAACTGTGAGGAGCGCCTCCCTGGGGAGGAGTGGACTAGTCTAAGGGGAGGCGCGAATATTAGTAGCAGTGAGCAATTTTCCAAATATCTGCTAAAGTATAGAAACATTCCTGCGCTCTTATCCATATTGCTGTAATACGCGTTCAAAGTTGAAAAATTATACATTTATATAGCAAGTATACATATATTTATCCGTTTGGCTGTAATTCGCGTTCAAAATTAAAAAAATGCTCGAAAAA